TGTTTAGAATTAATAGTTCTTCTTGGATGGAATTCCTGTCTTCTTAAGAGAGGACAGATGTTCAAAAACTCATCTAGGGATTGGAATAGGTGACTTGTGCCAGATGTGGAAATAATATCACCTCTGTTTCCTATTGCTGTTAGTTCCATTTTAGAAAATGCAATCTTCTTGTTAAAGACTGTGCTTGGATATATGAAGTTGATATTGTTATACAGCATCTAGTACTTTTTGTCTTGAAAGTTGAAATCAAGGGCTGAAATGAAGATCTTTGCTATCCCTCTGCTTTATGTGACGTTGCTTTCTGGCTTAATTACATGTTTTTTATATTTTACTTTCAATCTGTCTGCTTCACTACTATCATAATTCTTGCAGAGAAACAAATGGGAATTCTTTGTTTTCCTGTGCTTCGGAACCATGACGTCATTTCTTGCTGGTGCAGTTGCGGTTCAAAGTATGCCATCATTTCTTTGGTAGGGAAACTATTAATTCATTTTGATCTTATGTAACAGCTTTTTTTGTTTGCTATGACAGGAGTTTGGACAATATCAGCATTGCCTCCCAGAGAATCATGGGTTCACCATGTGATGGTACAGCATGCTGGCATAGTTGTGTTTCTGGTTCTTGACCTTATTATTTTGGCTGCCGCTACAACTTTAACCACGTCACAGGCATCCCAGGTAGATGACTGTGATTATTTACTTATTATATAGTTTAAAGTTTGTGAGACTTTTCAATGTTGGTTATACATAATTACAGTGTGTTTGGGTAGTGGAAATTTGACTTTGTAAGAATGGAGACAAATTGTTTCCTTCAACAACTGGCAACTAAGTTGTCTAGTATCTAGTGTCTGCCTGTTCGGCATGTGATTGTGACTATAGCTAAGAATTGCATGCGTAAATATGGTCATATAATCCGATTTGTAACATAGAGAGGTTTGGTGCTGTATGCACATAACAAGGAAATGGGTATACACCTCCTTTTAGTCTCATTGTGCCACTAAAAGAAAAGTTTACACACAGATGCTTCAGGTCAGGAGTGGCCAACTGATTGAGTTTCCATTTTCATAATGCAGATAGCTAGGAACATCACCACTAATGAATTATCAAATGCCTATCGCTATGGGTATCTTCGAGGTGCTGATGGGCGGTTCCGTAACCCATATAATCATGGGTGGAGAAAGAATTGTGCAGATTTCCTAATTCATGGCTATACAAATGATGATGAAATTGCCTGGCCTACATTGCAGCAGGTTACCTGTTAGAACTGCTGCCATGATATACTAGCATCACAAACCTTGGTCTGGTTCCTTTTGTTGTACGAATACCATGCTCATAAAAACCGTATGAGAACTGCTGCCATGATATACTGTCTTCGAGGTGCCATGATTTATAACCCATGGAGGGGTCCATCCCCGTTGATATACAAATACCATTTTCATCATGTTTTCTTTTTGTCAAATAATTTTGATAAACTCAATGTACAATTACGTTGCATGTACAATCCAACAACCTGAATTCTGTATTATGTACTGAATCTGTTTATTCCAGAATGTTAGCGCTGCCCAAGTTCACGTACAAAGTTGAAATACCTTGATTCATAACTGCAAGGATAAGATTCTGTGACAAATGATGAAGATAAACCTGCTTAGGCATTGCCATGGATGAATTTTCCAGGGGAAGAGAGGAATTTCCCCGGAATGTTGCAACTGTACAGGAGAGGAGATGAGCAGCTGAGTGTGAAACGTACTCCGCTGTTAAAAAAATGGCGTACGGAACAATGCATGTTCTCCGTACAACGTCGTACGGATCACCAATCACGGCGCTGCTGTATAAAATAAAAACGAAAAATTTCAGTAAATTGCCTCTCTTTATCTTGAAATCATTATTATGCCTGGAAATGTTGACTCTGAATTCATGTTATTTTGGGTCGGCGGGGAGCAGCAAGGTACAGCTTTTCTGGGACACAAGGTCATACGGTATTGGCTAAAACTCAAAGGAATTCAAAAGGAAAGTCGTGGTGAAGATAGGTATGGTATCAATACTTTTAGCTCCAACCACACTTGGCATATCTTAATTCACTTGAAATCTTGCAATTTCAACTGTTGTGATTTCCCATTTTGTCGGTTGGGTTTTAGTCACATTTGCTTTCATTTGGTTTGGTTGTAAGAGTTGAGAAGAGGGCCACAGGTTTTGGTCACTGGTTGTTTCCTGATTAATTTTCATTGAGGCATTTTGTCAAACACTAGTTGGTGGTGACACTCTTAAAAAAAGTCCACAAAACAACAAAATGGTAAGATGGTCTTTGGTGTTGATTTGTCAGCAAAATCAACCCACTGAGATTATAATATGCTTCTGTTGCCATTATTTTGGAGGGCAAGTGTTCAATTTTCTATGGCCTTTTTTTTTTTTTTTTAAACATCTTCTGCATGGAAGAGCTATAAATAATTGAGTTGGGAGGTCTCTCCTGCTTTACTGGAGATTGGAAAAGAGAGGCTTTGGCTATCATTAAAAGGTGAGACATCAAGTCAAATCCCAGTTTTTACCTTTTTCATTATTCTTATCTTGTAACCTCTGCATCTTTCTCTGCTTGAATCTTGGTTATACAAAACCATTAGGAAAGTTTCTATCTTGAACTGTTTCTCTCCTTTTACCTTTATGGTGTATGTTATGCTGAAATTTGGCTTCCTTGGGTCAGCATATGATTCAGAATTTATCAAATAGAAGCTGTTGGTTTCATTCTCTAGAAAGGCTTAAATTTGTTCATATGTTTTGTTGACTTCCAGGACACTTTTCATTTAGTGGCTTCTTCAATGGAGATTTCATCTATCACAGGGTTATATGAACCGGTAAGACCCTTTCTGAAATCTTCCCACCATCATGGTTAGAACTTAGATAATGTTCATTCAGGAATAAACTTTTTCATGCATAAAGTATCTTTTATGAAGAGAATATCTCCTAGATGAAGTATTACAATGTTAGAGACATTCATGAACATCGTGATACATTAACTCTTTCTGGGTTGAATGTTATTCAAAGTTATTGAGAGAAACCAAAGAGGGGATTACATTGTTTCTAAATCTCAAATGTACAGGAAATGGAAGATCCTAGCGTTTTTGGTCAGTGGCACATGAATACCCTTGATGAGGTCAATATCCTGCCGCTAGCAGCTGCATTTGGAGAGAACTTGCAGCGCTCTTTCAATCGCCCTTCCTTCAACATCAGAACTTCTTTAGAAACTAATCATATTGGCAATGACAGACCCCCAAAACAGCTCAAAACCAACAGCTGGAATTCCAGAAAAAGTAATAATATACCAAACCCCCAAGCTGCTTTTTCTCCAAACACTACTCTCTCCTTTGTCAATTCCACCCACACAAATCCAATTGGCATTGTCAAGCCTAAGGAGGAGGCAGTGAGCTCTAACATCCCTGACACCATCCCTTCTGATATCTTGTTTTCTCAAAATTCCTCTGGAGAGCAAAATTATGTGTTTAAGGCCTGCCAAGAACCCATGAAGAGTAGCACAGGAACTAGACTTTCTCATACACACAATCATGTAATAGCAGAAAGGAAGCGGCGTGAGAAGCTTAGCCAAAGATTTATAGCTTTGTCTGCTTTAGTTCCTGGCCTAAAGAAGGTATTCAGTTTATATACCAATTTCTCTATCAAAGTTGGATTCTTGTTTAGATATCAGGTCTTTCAGATCCTTTGTGCTAAATAATACTGATCTAGTTTCCAAATTTGACTTTACTAAAATGCTATTCATAGATGGACAAGGCTTCTGTTCTTGGAGACGCTATCAAGTATGTGAAACAACTTAAAGAAAAGGTTAGGAACCTTGAGGATCAGACAAGGAAGAATTCAATGGAATCAGTTGTCTTTGTGAAGAAATCTCAACTCTTTGCTGAGGGTGACAACTGTTCCTCAGATGAGAATTTCAGTGGCTCCTTTGATGAGCCACTACCAGAGATTGAAGCAAGATTCTGCGGGAAAAGTGTTCTCATAAGAATTCACTGCGAGAAAAGAAATGGAGTTTTGGAGAAAATCCTGGCTGAACTTGAGAAATGTTACCTAACAATCACGAATAGCAGTGTCATGACATTTGGGAGCTCTGCTGTTGATATAACCATAATTGCTCAGGTACTTTCTAACAATTATTCCGAAGTTAATGTTTCATGCATTTCCTTCAACACAGCATTAACATACCAGCACTTTTGCAGATGGATGTTGAATTCTGCATGACAGGGAAGGATCTGTTGAAGAATCTACGCTCAGCTTTTGAATTGTTTGTGTGAAAGGAAGCTTTGATTCTATTGATCATGAATCTACGCTCAGCTATCAGATCTAGTAGTAGGATTGTCCATTAACCACCTTCCATTTATGCAGAGTAGCCTAAGTGGTTGTGCTTCTTCTCCTCAGGACACTTGCCTGATTTGAAGCCCACAATGAGGTGTTGGTTCTGTCCAGTCCTCACAAAACTGCTTGCAATTTTTGCCCATTAGCTTGCACATTAATGGAGAACCCAACTACTAGATCTTATGGCTGAGCATCCATAACCAAGTGCTTGTGCCTCTTTTTTTCCCAAGTGTTTTTGCACCTGATGCAGTTTCTTAAGCTTTCTGAATTTAAGGAATAATCCCCAACATACACATCCAGACGGTACAGAAACAAGGCCTATGTTGCTCCACCACTTAAGATCACCATCAAGCTTGTTTGGTGTGAGGTTCATTTTGCAGGATGGGTTTCCCCTTTTTTTCATGGTTAACTTGTTGATCATGTTCAGTCCCCACCTGTTTGTAAAGTAATCTCACAGCTTATTTGTGCTTTTTTTGACCTGTGGGAGGTTGAAAGTTCAACTGAAACAGTTTCTTCCCCTTCTAGTATCTCAAGGTTTGAAAAGGGGAAAATGGTTTTTTAGGTGTGTGGATAAACAGGCCCTTGTTTTAGTACTTTGTTTTGAATTGGTCAGTGTTTTAGACGTGACTCTTTTATCTCAGCCTCTTTCTCTATGCAATCTCTTTTTGGTTTCTAGTAGTTTCATCCACATGAATTGAAAGAAAAGACAATAAAACTTCTATATTTCTTTGAAAGTTTGAATGATTATATATTTTCTTCATATTCTATTTAAAAATATATTTTTTAATTTTAACCAGTCGAAACTGAAATTTCATATAAAATGTTTCTCATTCTTCCATTTCCCTTAAGTTAAATGAAAGCAACTTAGACAAACTTGCCTCATTTTAGAGAATATGCCTCTAAATTAAATAAATAAAAAAACCTTTAAACTATGCAATTAAAATAAATTAGCCTTTTATTAATAACTACTGATAGTTTTTAATTAATTTTTATCAATGTGTTTTATAAAAGAAATGATCGTCATTAATGTATATTTATCAAAATAAATAATTTCAGTTTAATTGCTACATTGAAGCATTAATGTCATGTATTTCTTTTAATTATCACGTCAGTTGTTCTATTAACAAAGGGTTAATTTGTTGTAATTCGTGCAATTCAAGGGCCTAGTTGCTTATTTTCAGTTTAAGGGGTTATATGCTAAAATGGGGTATGTTTAAGGGTTTATGGAATGGTTTGCCCTTTGTTCTAGTTGTTCTGTTTACTGCTTTACATGGACAATCAAGACACCACCAGAAGTTGATCACATATAATTCAATTTGGGATAAAATCCGCCCTTGTGTTTGGATAAGAAGGAAACAGTTCGACCAAATGACCAAAACCATGGTGGACTTGGTGCCTACAATTTAAGAAAAAAACGTTTTGATTCAAGGTCCAATTTAACGACTTCAAATTTGTATTATGTTATGTAGTTAATTCTGAATAATATAAAAATAAAGTAAAAAGTTTTTTTTATACATAAATATTATATATTATATTTATATAAAATTTTAATAATTTATTTTTTTTATTTTTAATAATTAAGATTTATCACATATTTTTTACATAAAAAATAATTATTTTTAATAAATATAAATAAATTTTAATTATTAAAATAAATAATTAAATAATTAAAATTTTATATAAATATAATATATGAAATTTATATATAAATAAATTTCTACATCAAAATAAATATGATATAATTTAAGTGTTATTTTAATTGTTATATATTCGCATGATCAACAGTGAAAGCAGGTTCAGACAAAACGTTGGTCTAATTATTACACAAAGTAGTTGGGAAACAACGGGGTACAGCTAACTTGATTAATTCATAGTCAATAACAGTATGGCTTGGTACTAGAATGAACAAATGTAGTTTATCTTGTGTACTCATGGTGGAATAGTTGTCTTCTTCTTGTTGAATATTCTATATATGTTTTTCTTCTTTTATATTGGTTAAATATTAAATTTGATCCCTCAACTTTATAAAATGCACATATTTGGTCCCTCAACAAAATTTTACACTTTGTTAATCCCTCAACTATACGAAATGCACTCCGTTAGTCCTTTTGTCAATTTGGGCCATTAACTCCGCCATGTGGCATTTTTTTATATTTTTTGTTATGATATGGATAGTCCAACTAGAAAAAAATGATGACATGGATCGTCCAACTAAAAAAATTGATGACATAGAGATAAATTTTTATATTTTTAATAAAAAAAATAAGAAACCTCTTCAACCTATCTTCTTCCTCCTCTCTCTTTCTCTTTCTTCCTCCTCCTGTTGCTGCCTCTTCTGCTAGCCAAACCTAGCAAAGCTAGGATCCACCAAACCTTCTCCTTCCTTTTTCTCTTCTTCCCTTCTTGCTTTCTCAAAACAAAATCAAAACCTTAAAAATTCATACTACTTCAATCCAGCTTAATGATCATATACTCACAAGAGAAATAGCCCAGCTTAATGATCATATACTCACAAGAGAAATAGCCAAATCAAAACATACAAACAAAATTTTACAGCATTCATAATACTAAATTACCATCCCACAAACACAATATTTGAAACAAAAATCCATCAAACAAAAGGGTTCAATACATGCATAGAAATTGTTAGAGTTACTAAACAAAAAAATCTATAAACATGGGTTTGAAAACCCAAAAATTCAGATTCCTTGAACTCATGTTGCTGGGTTCCATGGAACCCAGAACTGGGTTTGTTACTTAACCCAGATTTGGGTTCTGTGGAACCCAGCGATCTGGGTTAAACGAACCCAGATAGTTGGGTTTCGCAGAACCCAGATTGTTGGGTTCCACAGAACCCAAAACTGGGTTCAAACTAACCTAGATTCGAGTTCTGTGGAACTCAACGATCTGGGTTAAATGAACCCAGATAATTGGCTTTCGTAGAACCCAGATCTGGGTTCAACAGAACCCAAATTGCTGGGTTCCATGGAACCCAAAACTGGGTTCAAACGAACCCAGATCCAGGTTTTGTGGAACCTAGCGATCTGGGTTAAACGAACCCAAAGAGTTGGGTTTCGTAGAACCTGGATCTAGGTTCAATGGAACCCAGATTGCTAGGTTCCATGGAACCCAGAACTGGGTTAAAACGTACCCAGCGTTCTGGGTTAAAACGTACCCAGCGTTCTGGGTTCAATGAACCCAGCATTCTAGGTTCAAATGAACCTAGTAGCCAAAGGAGGAAGAAAGAAAGAGGGTGAAGAAGGTTTGGCGGGTCGCAGCAAGAGGAGGAAGAAAAAGAAAGCAAGAGGGGGAAGAAGAGAAAAAGGGGGGAGGATCTTAGCTTGGTAGGGTTCGGTCAGCTGAGGAGGTAGCAGGAGGAGGAAGAAGAAAGAGAAAGAAAGAGGGGAAAGAAAACAGGGGAGAGGGTTTTTTTATTTTTTTATTAGAAATATAAAAATTTATCTCTATGTCATCATGTTTTTTAGTTGGACGATCCTTGTCATCATTTTTTTCCAGTTGGACTATCCATATCATCAAAAAAAATATAAAAAATGTCACATGGCGGAGTTAACGGCCCAAATTGATGGAAGGACTAACGAAATGCATTTCGTATAATTGAGGGATCAAAAAAGTGCAAAATTTTGTTTAGGGACCAAAAATGTGCAACTCAATAAAGTTGAGGGACCTAATTTAGCATTTAACCTTTAATATTTAGGTGGGATTTAATATAAACTAAGTTCTAATCAATAAGGTCATTGATCAGTATCTCCTTTTCCTGCCTAAGAGGTAAAACTGTATTATTTTTCTCTCCTTGATTATTGAGATTTTGATAAAGTTAGAATTTAGAAATAAAATATTCTACTAGACACTTTTTCTCTAAACATATATTTTTATGGATTATACAAGTAAAAAGTAATTCTTTTTTTTTTAATTTCTCATATGTCTCAAAATTTAAATTTAAATTTTTCATATGTTTTAAAATTCAACCTCAAAATACTTAATTTGAATTTTCAAATGTCCTAGAAGTTCCTCTGTCAAGGAGTTCTATATATGAACATTACACGATGCATATGATTAGATTAGTTGGAAACAAGTTTAAAAAATTACTAGTGTTTGGCTATTATTTATTCAAAAAAAAAAAAAGAAGAAAAAAGCTAGAAATTTAGGATACATTTTGGTATTAGTATCTCATTAAAAATATTGTCGAACCCGTGCTGAAACCTAAGTGGACAATAATATGTTTCTAAGTTGGTACACCATACCTTAATTTTTATTGAGGATGACAGCTTGACATAAAACCTGATTTTTTTGTCATATTTCATTTTTTGTTTAAACCATTTTAAGCGAAAATCATAATAGTATTTTAATATAAAAGAACATTTTATTAATTATTACATATTGTTCAACATTGAAGTAACAATAACCTAAAGTAATGATGGGTGAAAAGAAATAAATTTTTGGACTTTCTAATAAGGAATCTTGTCATTATCTGCTCCATTAATTATTGAATTTTTTTTTTTTTTTGATAAAGAGCTCCATTAATTATTGTTGGAACTTGGAACATTATTTCTTTCTCACTTGAAAACTAACATTGGTGACGAGTACGGTCAGCACAACACGCAAAAATTCCAACCACAAAAGAAGGAGACCATACTCCATAGACACAAATTTAAGCCAATATTCCTTTTTTTCTTTTTTTCTTTTTCTTTTTTTGGACAACAATGATCATGTTCTTACCAAAGAAAAAGAGATTCCTTTTTGGGTTTTGTCTAGACATCAAACAGTTCCTCTAACTCTCTTAAGCACTTCTATTCTATGGTTTATTGAAGAAATAAGAGTTCCTCGAACCAACATAGGATATATAGGTGGAGGTGGAAAGCAATAGAGATAAATGGATTTAACATACCTTATAACTGAAGAATTTGATGAATTAAATTAAATAGAAATGTGTGTAGTTTAAATTGTATTAAGTTGTATAAAATTAATCTTAAATATTAAAAGCTCTTTTTCTATCTAAAATTTCATTTTTATAGTGAAATGCAATCTCTATTGTCAAGTGACTCTAATTTTAATACCACATCAAAGCTTGTAGCATGAAGCGTTGATGCCCTGATTTGTGGTAAGAACACCCGTGCTCCTTGACCTTATTCTCAAGCTAGATATATCCCTGCCTTGTTATAAATTTCTTTATCTCCCAAAATTCCGGTGTTAATTTTTTTTTTTTTTTTGTCAAGAAACAGCTCATTTACATTCCGGTGTTAATTGTATACTAAAAATATATTTGGGTTAGTAAATCTGACTTTGGGTACATTATTTAAAATATTTTTTAGTTATTAAAATTTAATTAAAAATATATGTTGTTTTTGGGGCATGTTTGGGCTTTAGGTATTGAACCTATAAATGGGTTTTGCTTTCGTAATTAAGTTTAGCGTGAATTCTATTGTAAAATAATTTACTATTGTT